GGGAGGGGGGGGAGAGAATGTGTGTATACGTGTGTATGTATATATAAAGAATTTATTACATGAGTTGTGGTGTAAGATCATGGGAGTGAAATTGCCAAGTTGTAATCACGAGTTTCAACGAGTGATTACAACTGGCAATTTCACAAGTAGGATAAATCATGGTCTTACACCACAGCGAGTGTAATGAATTTTTTATACCATACTGATATCAGCTGGCGAAATACATCTGTACAAACAAAGTTCAAATGACCCGTCAATTGGACAAGAGGATCCATTCTAGAGTCTCACATGAAAACAACATTTCCATGCCCGTGGAAGTCAGATTGAGAATTGGGAAAAATCTGGATTGTTTTCCTTTACTTTTAGCCACCCTAATTTACAAGTTGTGCTATCCGTATGTCTCCCTCCGCGAAACAAACCCCAAACAAAACAGTCATAACGTAAATATAAGCAAAGTAATAAGAAAACGTACGATTCAAAAGTTGAAAGAAACTGTATTAATATAGCATGTTGTTGTTAGAATAGAGATGACTTTGATTTTGATTTTAAACTTCGTAATCAAAACAAACCAAACGCAAGGAGTTGGATCTATTCTCTAGCTAAATCTAGATATCTAGATCTAGATCTAGATCTAGATCTAGATCTAGATTTAATCTAGATTCTAGATCTAGCGAATTGCATTACATTGGTCAAAGATGGAAAAAAAGGCATTTAAACAACAAAAGTTGTCACGCTATTTGAAAACTGATGTGCCGATTCCAAATATTATGATGTTAGATATCTAGATTTTGTCTATGGATTTTCGATATTCTTGATTTCTTAAGGGGAGGTAAGAATATCAGAATAACAAGGGAAGTAACTTTTATTATTTCAAAAAAAAAGTAATTATCCAAGAGTGTTATACTCGTATATTGACGAATATCATATTTATCAATTACATATTGTTTTAAAGTTTAATCTTCTTTCAGCTATATATTTGATTATTTGGTATATGTAGTGATAGAATTAGTGTGAACAAATATTCGAAAGGCAATGCGAGTGACCTAAACAGTGCGTTTATTAATGTTAGATAAAGTGACTATCAAATTTTTAAAATTTTGTGTTTTCTGATGATCATTTAATTTATTCCAACTGATATAGGCCTAGGCCTCTCCCTTCCTCCACGGTTCAAAGTTCACACAGCGAACAGTACCGTCTTGCTGTTTGAACACATCGGACTGTCTTGTCGCCATCAAGACGGTCCTACGCCATCGAGCCCGTGCCGCTCGCTCGGTGTATCGAGACAGTACAAGTCAGCAGGTCAGGTTTGGAGCTTGTCCTGGGGCAAATCTCTAAGCCGAGCGCAAATCAGTACTGTGTGAATTGTGGGGCCTGTGGCAGCGGTGGGACTTGAGGCTTGCGCAGGCCTTCGATTAATCGAATAAACTACAGCGCCACGCCGCGCAGTGACTCTGTGGGCGAGATCTCTCACTCTCCCCCTCTCTCTTTTTCTGATGTAAGTGGCTTCGCGGATTGCAAGCAGGGTGGGGATGATGAGGGGGCCTGACACGAGTGGCTTCGCAGATTGCTAGTTGCTGTGGACTTGAAGTTTAGACCAGACCAAGGAAGTTACAGTTTGCGCTAGACTCAACTTATCATGCTGGTGATTTGATTTGATAATTTGACCTAGTGATTTGAGGCTTGTGACTTGAACTAGGGGCTTGTGAGCACGAGCGGGTTTGCTACCGGGGTACAGCCCTACTGAATAGGTTAGGCTAATTCATTGTGCTGGTATTTATTCAATGTGTTTTTCAAGAAAAGTAAAGATCTAGGCACAGAAACAAAAATCAGCACAGTAATACAGAATAACAAGTTGCAGATCAAAGTCGAAGCGTTGAAATTAAGTAAAAAGAGGAAAGCACCCAAAATACTAAGATTGAGAATGTGAACAAGTCTAGATCGGACGAAGTATTCTGGCTTAAGAGGTCAGAATGAGAGCAGAGAGAAATGAAGAGGAACTGAAATAAAGACTTGGTTTGTATAGATGCCAGTGGGTCACTGGTTTGCATGATATAAATCAGCTGATCGGACAAAGTAAAAACAACAACACTAGATCTAGCCTACAGACGATGTGTCTCAAGGTCATGTAGGCCCAGACGTAGATCTAGTAAGCCTACGATTCTGCTGCTGGCATGTTGGAGGGGCCTGGGTTTATGGGTTTTAATATGTTTTATATTGTTGTTGCTGTACTGTCAGTAAATCATTTAGAAAATGGTACCAAAGATGCTTTTTGAAGAGAACGACCTAGCGCGAAAAGCTATGATGAAGGAGAACTACCCAATTGCGCACATACGCTTATCAACGAAAAGACCCTCATAGTAAACCCCAAGACGGATTAAGACAAGGCGAGACAGCCTCATTTTCGTTCCAACTGGCTCCACTGGGTAACCAGCTAGATGCGCGTTTAAAGCGTAAACAAACGACAGGAAGA